TTATTGGATCAGCTTCGAACCATATATTGTAATAAACGTTGTTATATATTCAAAGTGTAATCTTATTATTCTGGGAAATTCTCTTGGTAAACACTATAGGATACATACGCTGATAAATTCCACATCGTGTTCTCGGAGCAGGTCTCAAGTCGGCCTATTTCTGTACGCGTGCTTGGTTTGTTTGTTTGTTTGTTTTGAATTTCGCGCATAGCTACACGAGGGCTATCTGCGTTAACCGTCCCTAAAGACTAGAGTGAAGGCAGCTAGTCATCTTCAACCGCCGCCAACTCTTGGGCTACTCTTTTACCAACGAATAGTGGGATTGACCGTCACATTATAACACCCCACGGCTGAAAGGGCGAGCATGTTTGGCGTGACGGAGATTCGAACCCGCGACCCTCAGATTGCGAGTCGATCGTCCTAACCACCTGGCCATGCCGAGCCGCATTTGTTGCTCTCTAGGGTATTGTATTATATTACGGTATCACCTGAACAGTCTAATGACACAAGTGGTAGTTTGTTACTTTATTTTCAACAATTTCTACTACAGTGGTAGACAGTAACATAAACACAGAAGATGTTTTATCCGAACTTCGCCTTTATCTAGTCGATAATGTGAAAAGTTTAGCGGTTCAAACTCTGAAGAGAAGTATTTTGGAACTTTGTGACCAATCTGCATACACCAAACAAAATGGGGGGGGGGCTTAAAATTCAGAAATTTAGTACGGTTAATATAGAATCCAGCTTTGCGTAGCTTATTTTTAGTACGGTTAATATAGAATCCAGCTTTGCGTGGCTTATTTTTAGTACGGTTAATATGGAATCCAGCTTTATGTGGCTCATTTTTAGTACGTTTAATATGGAATACGGCTTTGTGTGGCTCATTTTTAGTACAGCTAATATGGAATCCAGCTTTACGTGGCTTATTTTTAGTACGGTTAATATGGAATCCAGCTTTACGTGGCTCATTTCTGATATTAAGGGCATCTTGGTATAGAGGGCATTTGGACGCAGTCGGAAGGATGCCCTTAATATCGAGGTTCTACTGTACGTTTGTCGGTTTCATGTTGGTCGAATGAGCTCAGTTTGCGATCGATATACACTTTATACACCTGGGAAATATGAAAAACAAATCACATTGTCGCCCCTGGTGGTAACATGTGACAACTGTGACATTTCCATCCGCACGATATCCTTAACACTCTTGTGCAATTTCACCCTCCTAAACTGTGCTGTTTGTGAGATATCACGTGCCGAACTGCGAAACTATCTTTCTAATCACCCCATATAGTCAATCGTAGTTTTAATTTGATCAAAAAAAAAAGGAAATTATTCTGTTCAGATGATTTATTTGTTTGTAATTAAGAATAAAGCTGACAATGAGCTATCTGTACTGTACCCACCGCGTGTATCCAAACCCAATTTCGAAATTTGTAAATCTTCGTTCTGATCAATAAATGGAAAAGCAAATAAAACACAGGCTATTTAATCAACAAACAATACATTTATTCAGATCCAATAATTAAAAAAAAGTCTTCATCAGAAGAAAATAGAACAATTTCAAATAGGAAGTTTCAAGAAAAATGTCGTCGAGACGCAATGTTTTACCTTCACATAAAGATCAACTTTAAAATCCTACAACAAAAACTACATTGTGGTAGCCATTAAAAAAAATAATAACATAAACGTGTAAGAACGTTATTATGTTTTAAAGTTCCAAAACTTTAATTCAAATAGAACCTTGAAAATAATTTTAACATTTTTAATAAATGTACTGTATTAAAAAAAAATAACAACTTTGCCAATTTATATTACAATTCTTGGAAGGAAATA